TTACATATAAGTGCAAAATAACTTCGAGTTTTTTTTCTTCCTTGGACACAGTTGTTTGTGCTACAGAGTCTACAATTATTCCATACAGCAGCATCAAACACAAGGGGGAAACAGCGTACTTCAAGTACAGCAAAGTACAACAAAATTACGCCAAAGTACTTTGAAATTACAGAAAAGTACTTTAAAGTAGCCCAAAGTACTTTACAGTAGCCAAATTAACTGCAAGTACAAAGTACGCTGTTTCCCCCTTGGTCAAACAAGTAAATAACCCTTGTTTTTATGATTCATCAGTGATGCGATGCATCATGCAGTGGTTAACACTGGTATCCTTTGGTAACTGTTTTAACTTGTCCAACGATCATGTGGACTTTTTCGCTTGTTATACTTTAACGTTTAAAAAAAGACAATGATAGTGTTTCAAACGTGAAGAAAGGTGAGCTGAATAAGAATGCCTTCCTAAGTCTGTTTGCATATTGAAGATATATTTACATAGTATATTTCTTTTTCCATCTGTCACCTTTGTCTAGGCATCTTTTTATAAGCGACAGTAATTCAAACTTTTTTTAAAGAAGGATTTTTTAGGAGTTCTTCAGAGAGCGATGGCTTTTTAAAATTATTTTTATGGATTTCTTATAGGTATGATACAATAGTCTAAATACATTCTGATATTTTTGAGTGAGCTGTGAGTTTTTACTATTATGTGAAAACAGCCTGGGAACCTCAGTCGATGCTTTATAAGTCGATTTCTGATCTGAAATGAACGTGTCACGATGACACTGAAAACTGTATTCCTCCTCCTCTCTTTTTTACTTCAGATTCTCTTTAAAAATAATATGAGATTCTCTTTCACTTTTCTTTTTCAGAAGACTGCAATCAGACCCTAGCACTTAAGTTTCAATCTAATCTTAGTTAAAAGTTGACTTAAATCTTAGTATTTCATAAAAAAAAATCTTGATTGTACATTTAACTAATTGTAACTTTTTGAAACGTGATTCTAAGTTAATCATTGGCTTTAAACATCTTCAGTGCTGTAAAACAACATATAAAAACAAACTAAACGTTGACTTAGGAATGTTAATCAAACGTCCCATTTGCTTTACAACAGATTTATTATATTGAAAGTATTAGATAGCTCGATTGAATAGTTTCGAGATATTTATTTTAGAGTATGAGAACGACTGTTATTTTTGAAATCTTCCACGATAAAAGTGTCTTGTTTTTAATCTATTAATCAAAGTTTTCATTTTAAAAATTCACACTACAGCATTGCATTTGCAACGAAAGTTTTTCTTGAAGTTATCTCATTAATGAGTGACTGAAGATACAAGTTGATTTTTATTTTTCGTAATGCCATTATTCAAAAGTGAAAAGGAACTATTCTCAAAAAATCTTTCCAATACATCAAGTTTTTGTTACGAGTAATTTTAGTTAAACTTTTTTGTTTACACTCTTATAATGAAGTAGAAGAATATAAAATAAGCTTAGCACATATGAAGATCATAATATCAAAAAAATGTAGATAGATGAAAAAATCATTCTGACTGAGTTATGGAAGTAAATACCGAAGGATAAATAAAACTATGTTGAAAAAGAAGAGAAGAAAAACAAATGATCATGCACACTCTAAAACTATGCTTACAAAGTGACACTTTGCATCGAAATGCCTATACATTACATAAAAATTATTAAAAAATTTCTGAATGATAGATAACCTTGATGTTCGAGAACGTTTTTATGTTAGTCAAACTTATACGAAATGTGAACTGACCTATTGTTTTATTTTTCAGATTAAAAGCTTTTTTATACACTTTACAATGCCCGATGAACAACTTGACCAACTTGACCTAAATAGTATGGACGGCTTAACAACCGCAGAACTTTTCAAAAATAATGATGGTTTAACGTACAATGACTTTATTATATTACCCGGTTACATTGATTTTCAATCAGATAGTGTTGATTTAACATCAAAACTAACGAAACAATTAACAATTAAAACACCATTTGTCAGTTCGCCAATGGACACGGTGACCGAATCTAACATGGCTATTGGTAAGTTTTTCTGTATGTTCACAACAAAAGATCTACACCTATCCTTTTGTCTTTAAGCAATGGCATTAAATGGAGGAATTGGAATTATTCATCACAATTGCACAGTTGATTTACAAGTAGCAGAAGTAAGACGAGTGAAACGATATGAACAAGGATTTATAACCGATCCACTCGTGCTAAGTCCAACACATACTGTTGCAGATGTTTATGATATTAAACAGAGTCATGGATTTTCTGGTAAATGATACCGCTTATTTGTTCTACTTCTTGCCAAGTCTATTTTTCTCTTTTCAGGTATACCAGTAACAGAAACAGGAAAAATCAATAGCAAATTACTTGGACTAATTACATTTCGTGATATTGATTTCTTATCAAAAGATCAATGGTCAATACCTGTTCAACAAGTTATGACGCCCATTGAGGAGTTGATTACAGCCAAAAATGATCTAACATTGAAAGATGCATACCATATACTACAACGTAGTAAAAAAGGTATCGCCAGTTATATTGCTTATTTTTATTTCGAAGAAGTTTTATTTAGAATTCTTTTTATAGGTAAACTTCCAATTGTCAATTCGGACGGCGATTTAGTTTCACTTATTGCACGAACAGATTTAGAGAAAAATCGCGACTATCCATTAGCATCTAAAGATAATCGGTGCGTATTTCCATCAATAAACTAAAACCTGTTAAACGAACTATTCTTTTTATTTAGTCGTCAGTTATTAGTGGGTGCTGCTATTGGTACTCGAAAAGAAGATGAAAAACGTTTAAATATGTTAGTTCAAGCCGGCGTTGATGTTATTGTTCTTGATTCATCACAGGGTAACTCGATTTATCAAATAAATATGATCAAAGCAATTAAATCAAAATATCCTGATTTGCAGATCATCGGTGGTAACGTTGTCACACAAGCGCAAGCCAAAAATTTAATTGATGCTGGAGTGGACGCTTTAAGAGTTGGTATGGGCAGCGGATCTATTTGTATTACACAAGAAGTAAGGGTCATATTTACCTATGGATCAATTTTTTAGCATCTTTTTTTTGTTAGGTGATGGCTGTTGGACGCGCACAAGCAACAGCTGTATATAAAGTAGCTGAATATGCTCATCGTTATGATGTGCCAGTGATAGCTGATGGTGGTATTAGTTGTGTAGGACATATTGTGAAAGCGTTGACACTGGGCGCAAGTAGTGTGATGATGGGAAGCCTTCTCGCTGGCACACAAGAGTCACCCGGTGATTACTATTATCAGGATGGTGTAAGGTTGAAAAAATATCGTGGTATGGGTTCCCTGGAAGCCATGAACGTTTGTTCACAATCCTCAGCTGCCAGTCGGTATTATTCTGAAACCGATCATGTTAAAGTTGCACAAGGTGTAAGTGGAAGTGTCGTGGATAAAGGTTCAATACATCGTTTTATCGGAGGCTACTTATATACGGGAATACAAAAATCATTACAAGATATCGGATATAGATCATTAGAAAAACTACATTCGGAAAGTTATAATGGAAATGTTAAATTTGAAAAACGAACAACAAGCGCCCAAGTTGAAGGGGGTGTGCATGGTCTTCATAACTACGAAAAGCGATTGTTTTGAATATATAGAATTTTATGTATGTGACAAGAGAATAATATTTATTTTTATCTGCGACGCTTTGTATGTTTATTTTATTCTGCTAGAGATTGCGTTTATCTAAAACTGGTTTAATGCATGTTTGTAAAACCCAGTGTTTAGGGTAGACTTCTCCCTAGATTTGATGCTTATATGCGTATTTTTCTAAATGTAGTAATCATTCCATTGTGTCTGAACAGTTAGTGTTCGCAATTTCGATTTCGCAATATTATCAAAGTCAGTCAGTGTAGGTTTTTTTTGTACAGTTTTTTTCTATTTTGTTTTGCATTAGCATTTTTTCATTATGCAAGAATCTCAATATTTCCAAATGCATTTAAAAACAGTGTGTCTATTAATGTAATTTTCGACCCTAATGTAGAGTTTTCACTTTTGTTGCATGTAATTCAATTTCTTGTTAGTTTTTTCTGGTGCTTTACTCTATTTTTCATCTTGATACCATTGAATGGTGCAATCTGTAACAGTCAATAAATAAAAGAAAAATTATGCGAGGGATATGCTCGTTTGATTCATTCCTTTCGATCATGGGTTCTGTAGAAACGTTGAATATAAAACAAATTCTTAGTCTAGCTCCGTGATGCAGAAAAAAATGCTTTTTTGCACCCCCCTCAGAAATGGTGATTTTCGGTCAAAATATCGGTTTTGAGATAAGCACATGGGAAGATAGCCTGCAGTGTCCCCTTTCAGAATCAGAAGTTTCAAAAGTTTTTCCCGGATTTTGAGCAAGTTTTCTAGGAGCCTCGAAAAACTGAATCTTCAAATAATAGCTTTTTCCTGGATACTAATGGAATTAAAATTTTTCTAAACACACAGATTTGTGGAGCAAACGTTTCTGATCAATATAAGACCTCGCACACCTCTGTATGACTTTGCATCAAAAAGTTACAGGTATATTCCTAGAAGTCCTAAAATTGAGTATGTCATACAGCGTTTTCTCTATATAAGAGTTACACCTGAAGTATTTTCCAAGACTTTTTATAGAGGTTTGTCGTAGAGACTTTATTCGTGTTTTTGTTTCAGAGAGGAGAAAAAACTACATCGTCTGATCGGCGCCGATTTTCGAATTAGGTCTTAGTTTTTTTATCAAGTTAAGGATTTTTCGGGTTTTAAAGGTTGTTGGTTGCCTGGAAAATCAATAAAGGCTTAATTGAAAAATCGGCGCCGATCAGACGATGTAGTTAGGTGTCTAGTTTAAAACAAAACAAACCCGAACTCTCCAGCTTGAAGTATATTAAAAAATTTTGGGAAACACTTCAGGGTCCTTTTTGGACCTTGATCGCTAGAAAACTCCCAAACGGTAAGACTTGGAAAGAAAAAAAAAATTTTCATTCTCGTAACTCATTAAGCCAAACATTTATGCGAAGTTTTGAATCGAAGATCGGATGTATGGTGTCGGAGATTATTTATGAGGGGGGTTTAACTCTCGAATTGTTCGGCGCTGCAATGAGTTGATTATTTGTCTACCGGTATAGTGATGTTTATACTAGAAGATTTGGGAATGGCAGTCGTACTTCATCGCAAGCAACCAAAGAAAATTATCTAGAACATATCACAAAGCTTCAATTTCGAATAATTTCAAGTTTAGAAACCTGTTTTTTAGCCTTATTCCTTCGTTTTGGGATATAACGAAATATCGTAACAATAAATTTAACTTCTAAGCTCTAAATTATGTAAATCGTTTAGACATTACATATCGCATCGAATCTGTGAAAAGGATACGACTATTTCTTTGTAAGAGTCAGTGTTTATGAAATACCCTTTATATTTGTGATTGACATACACTGTAAAGGAGAAAATTATTTATAGAAAATGCTCAGCGAATTTCAAAGAATCCATATATAAATTCCTCGAGCATTTTCTAGTTTATAGAAAATCGAAATTTCCAGTTTCTAGAAATTTCTCCTCGAATTTCCAGTTTTCATGTGACTTATTTATGGAAATTCCTCGCCGAATTTTCAGTTTCTTGGAAATTCGCTGTCGAATTTCTATAAATAATTCCTAAGAATCTAGAAATTCTTTTTTGATTTGCTATAAACTGTAAATTCCTTGGCGCGTCTGCACCGAGTGGCGGCGCGACCAGTATGTATTGGAGTTGATCTCAACTCCTCATGCTTTTTAGGAATTTCATGCGAACTTCTCCGATTTTGCAACCTTTCTTCCGAAACTACCCCTTCTCGTCGCCACTATCTCTACCTAAATCCAAATTCTTGCTGACACAGGCAGAATTGTGATTTAAAGTGGAAACTGTCAAAGCTGATTTAAGTGTGATATGAGTGTCTTTATGTGACGCTCTTATACTTACACTGATTGCAAAACAAAAAAGTGAATAAGTAGTTGGCTTAAAAATTCCAAGGTGGATTTCCAGTTTCTAGAAAATCGATCGAATTTCTATAAATAATTCCCAGGAATGTGGAAATCCATTTTATTTTCTAGAAAGTTGGAAATTCGAGGAGGAATTTCCAGTTTATAGAAATTCGAATTTATGGATATTCAAGACGATTTTCTAGTAAGTAGAAATTCAACGATTTCTATAAAGTGGGAGAATTGGTGAGGAATTTCTATAAACTAGAAATTCTTCAGCGATTTTCCAGTTGATTTTCCATAAACTAGAAATTAATTCAAGATTACAGTGTAGCTGTTACCAACCGATGAGTATTTTCATTATAAAATTTTAGCTCTTTCCATTTAGCTGATCGAGCTCGTATCTACTACTGTACAAAAATTACTTCTTTAAACTCTGACATTGATAGAAAACAATTCTGATATTATCATATGTGTTTTTTAATATATTATTCGATGTAATTATCTATCTGGAGAGTGTTTCATGAAAATTCTTAAGTGCTCGACTTAACTAACGAGGAAAGGCCACCAACTGATAAATCGCTTTTGGCTTAAAACCAAATGGACAACAGGTAATCGAGTATGCTGAATCCGAATATGATAATGGTTTTTGCCGCTAGGTCTCTAGAAATTCGGCTTCTGGAAAACCAGTTTTTCAGCTCAAAAAGTTTTTGACGCCAATTTTTTTTCCTCATCTGTCCATATGAAAGAGCATATGGCAAAACGTATAAAAAAACTGGTTTTCAAAGGTTGTTGACGGTTTTTTGAAGGTTTCAACCAGTTCTATTAGGCGTCTGAAGTTCCAGTCTTCAAAAATCTTCGAAAAACCGTCAACAACCTTTGAAAACCAGTTTTTTTTATAGGTTTTGCCATATGCTCTTTCATATGGACAGATGAGGAAAAAAAATTGGCGTCAAAAACTTTTTGAGCTGAAAAACCGGTTTTCCAGAAGCCGGATTTCTAGAGACCTAGCGGCAAAACCCATTATCATATTCGGATTCAGCTTACTCGATTACCTGTTGTCCATTTGGTTTTAAGCCAAAAGCGATTTATCTTTATTATTATTAGGATCGAATTTTTTCCCGTCGCACTACTATGACCATGGGCTCAATATCTCAGCAACAAAGCACCATGGGGATGAACCAACTTAGGGTATTTCACTACTCACTGAGGTCTACAAGATACAAGTAGTCCGAGTTCAAAAGCGATTTATAACCTCAAGAGGTTCCCTCGTTAGTTAAATCGAGCAGTTAAGAATTTTTATGAAACATCCTCCTGACTTTTTTGTGAAATTCACTGATCACTGCTAAGACAAACACATTTGACTTTTTGTTCCCTGAGATTTAAAAATTAAATTTGATACTCAAAAATTCTCTAACGTTTACGATGACTTGTAATGCACCGACAAAATGTCTAACAAGACTTTCAAATTTTCTTTATTTTTATTTTATTTTCGGTTAATTTCACGTTAGATTTAGTAGAGATTAAGAGAAAGTAAAGATTAAGTAAAGCGAAACAAAGCAATCGCAGAAGTACAGAATGACAAAAAATTGTTTTGCAATATCTGATAGATTTCGCGAAAATCGATTTTTCACGTCCCAGGGACTTTAGATATTTTGACTTTTATTCTTTTATCTTTTTTTCCCAACCGATCGGTTACATAAACCTTGTCACTGAAGTGGAATAACAGAGTAGGATTTCTTTCCTACGAGTAACTTGGGACATACGGATCATTCTATACAGTAACTACGTGAATTTCTATTTTCAATTTATTTCTTCAGTTTGCCTTTCAAGGCCCAGGACCAGCTCAGTACTAAAGATTGGAGGACTGTTGAGAATAACATAGATATTCTGCTTAGTTTACTTTTAATACTCGCTTGTTTTCAAAGAACGAGAAATTTTTTGAAAAGATTGGAACCAAATTTGCCTACTGTAGCAGCCATAAGCGTGTAGATTTAATGTCATCAAAATGATGTTTTTAATTTATTTCGATTATTTTTGTTTCCGTAAGGACAGGCACTCGCATCTAATTACTCATTAACATTTCGTGTATCAGATGAACGTTGGCTATTCATTGAGTATCCCTTCAACAGAAACTTACATCCAGGCGACTTATTTCTTTGATAAATCTTCAAACATGAATGAAATACGCCTAACGGAATAGAAACAAAACGAATCACTTTTCAATTATAACACATGTTCAATAGATTTCCTTCCTTGGAAATAGACTTAATTATTATAGATTGAATGCATAAAAATGGCATTATGAAGTATTTCTTTATATTATTCTAATAATAGTAAACTAAACCAAAGTTTTAGAAAAATATCAAGATAAATTTGAACCACAGTGATCACTGTATTTCATGAAACTTTTGAAATATCTTTCTAGCGCTGCTTGTAAAATAATAGAATATATCTCCTGGAAAGAAAGTCATAACGAAAACTCAATATTGTTCGATTCTACTTTCGTATTTGTATATACGATTCAATACACATATATCTGATGTTCAAAGAGATTACGAGGTTAATCATGTCTTTTCTTTCTTATATGTTTTATAAGTATATATAATTATTTACTTCGGTAACTGCCTAATAAATAAAGTTTAAGGAGGAGATTTATACCGACTGTTGACAACGCATAAGATGAAAGAGAAAAGTAAGTGTGAATAATTGTTTAGAATATATAACTGACAATAGATAAAGTACATAACCGTTTCTGTTTATTTTAAAACTGGTCGTTTATTAAAATATGGAGAATATCGACGTGAAAAATTCTGAAGTCGCTGCTTTTTTTAATAATATTCAGCAATTCCAAATCTGCACTGAAACGTCTTTGGTGTCTTATTATCTAAACATTCTCTTAGATTCTTGCCATGTCCCTCTTCTAATTATAGTCGTATTAAAACCATATAAATTTAGTATTCAATTTTTTTTATCCCGAATAAAAATAACACTTCATTCATTGAACTTTTATGAAATGAACGCGAGCAAAAGTAAATACGTAGAAAAATATGTAGTTTTGTTCTGTGTTTTGAGTCGTCAAACAATTGAACACTTGTTTTTGGATGCCAGTTAACATCTTTTATAGTCGAGTTTCTTAAGATTATGTGGCTATACATGTTTCATAGCCGCACATTTTCATTCACTATGCAGATTTTTCTATACGTGCAATGTCGAGAAAAAAAATTGTACAACCTTTTTTCTTTACTCTCTTTTCTCTCCCTCTCTCGGTCTTGTTTCTATTCTCTCTCTTTCTTTCTCTCTTTTTCTCGTTCTATACACTGTTTTCATTCATTCATTCAACCTTTCTTATATATCTGACCGTATATGTACAACTCTTCTTAATGAAAAATGAGCTCTTTGTGAACTAGTGGTCGTTCGGCGTATAGGGCAAATGAAGAAATTCTTTATATTCATGTCTCATAAACCTTTGTAACGATCGTCGTTCAGAACAGAATATTTTGATTTAAGATAAAAGTTTCTGTAGTTTTGTTTCGAGTAAGTATTTTTCTTTTTGACAGTCAATTTCTACAATGATGAATAATTATTTCATGACATGAACACAGACGAATTGTGGTGATTATACAGATTTTAGGAACAAAGAGCACCCTTTTAAAACTAAATTTATTAAACATTGACGTTTCTTTTGATCAGTTAGCCATAGTTTAAGATAAACTTATACTACTTTGCTGTTTTAACTATGTCAAAAATATTATCAGGTGATTCAATTTGCAGTGTACAAAATGATTAACCGTTTGTTCGCATAGAAAAAAGGTATAATAGAAGTTGATCCTAAAACATTTTGAAATTACCACCGTCTATCATTCTTCTTGATTTTCATAGTTTATTCGGCATCTCAGACGAGCTCGATGAAATACTGTCTCAAGATGTGAAACAACAAAGAGTACAGCCTACACGATAAGTAGGATCAAATTATTAATCTGTTTAATTAGTAGACAAAAACCGTTTTTGTGTAATCGGGTAGAGTGCAACATTATCTTGATCTTCTCTACTTGAACATATAATAATAAGAAGGTAAGAAATACAGTTCTATTGATAATAAATCCTTTTGTTTTTTATGTGTTGAATATATGGTGTATAAAATAAATTTTCATTTCAGATATGTTTTCTTCTATTCTATACTTTATTCATACTGTATTGTTTGATTGACGTGTTATTTTAATTATTTTCTTGTCACAATTCTTAGTTTGTTATTGTTATCAGCATTCACAGAGACTATCATACACAAATGGGTGCTAGTGAACAAAATTTGCTATTAGTGACAACACGATCAGTTGTATCCGATTATATTTATTGGCGTTTACATCATAGTACGAATATCGAAACATCTAACATTCTAAATACAGAGCCAAATCGTATTAATCTCTTGATGAGACAATTGGCAAATGACACTGAAATAACTTATCGATCTCGTCTAGCCAATATTCTTCCAATGGATGTATCATTCACACTGGCTGATATTCATGGTTCATTTCTAGAAATTGTTCAATTATTATTTAGTGATGGTATTTTTAATTGGGGACGTATTGTTACGTTAATATCGTATTCAGGAATGTTAGCTCTAAAATGCTATGAACATAATATGTCTACCATGATCAATCCCATTATCGAATGGACAGAAGAATATATTGACCACGATTTAAAACAATGGTTAGACAGTCAAAAAGCTTGGGTAAATCTTGTTTATTTAACGACTTTTTTTCCACATGTCTCAATCTCTCTCACTTTCTCTATTTATTTAGGATGGTTTCATGAACTGTGTTGAGAAAAAAAATCGTCGACAATCACTGAGTCGATTTGCAACCATAATGGGTACAATCGGTAAGCACATACATTATACATCTGTTCAGTGATCACATACCAGATGGATTCAACCAATAACTATAATAAAGATGATAAATTCTTTAACAAAATAGTTGAGAGATGTTTTTTTTGTCAATTATCTATATACTTACTTATTTAATAAGTTGATGGCATTCAGTATCCAACAGTGTGCTTAGTTGAACAGGAATGTCCTGCTAAGATAATGAGATAAACACGTATAGATAGAGAATACACAACGTGACTATACCGGAATGATATTGTCATAGAGTCACGCATTTGATTTTCTTGTTCTTATTAGTATTCATCTAATTATAAAACGAAACAATAAATAATTTAACACAGTAAGACATCGACACGAACTATATCATCAGTATATGGCTCAATTTCAAATAGTATTGTATTTTTTATTATTTTCCCTTTATAGAAGTTTTAATTTATTACTACCCGAGAGCCTAAAAAGCTTTCTTTTCGCCGAATGTAATTCGGTAGTCAATTCACTAATCGATGGATCTAGATGCAGATAAATGTTCCTCTTGATACAATTAGATAACATCCACCATGAATTGTTATTTGTATCGGGTTCTGTTTGAGCTATTCAAAAATTGGATCAGTTGAATTAGACTAGATTCGGCGTCAAACTGTTTTGGTAATAATAAATAAGTGTTGGTTTATTTGTGAAATTGAAACGGAATTGAAAAGAGGAGAAAAATGGGCATGTAAACCCAGAATGTGGAAGTGCTTGACTGACGAAGAGAAGGCATATGTTTGTTTTCCACCTTTAGTTAATTTTAAGAAGTTCGATCCAATTTGATTTTAGAAAATGTCGGTTTATTTTAGTCCGGTTTCAAAAAAATACTAACCGATTCCATCTCTGATGCATATATATTGAATGGAACATAGAGCAAGGCGAATACATAGCACGATGCTTCATCTGGAGCATCTAAATAAAAGAGTAAAAGATATCGACCGATACGCCAGTTAAAGCATCTAGATATTTTAGCTAAAGTAGTCTGAATGGTGTTTGCTCATATTTGAGAGATTAAGTCAAAATGATCCTCTGCAATTGCTAGAAGTCTTCGGTGTATTCGATTGATTCTGTAGTACTAAAGTAGCTAGATTTATGCGAAAAAATCCATTTCCTATTGTTGAATATTATTTTAATTTTAGGTGTATTAACGCTTGGAGCTGTGTACATGACAAGACATTAATGTTACGAATTACTCTTTAGATCTGGATTGTTAAGCAAAAATAACCAATTTTTATGTGCAACAGTGATTTCTTTTTATTATTGTATAATAGTCTAATTATAAAACAATTTTTGTGTAAATTAAATTAACGTATCTATTGTTTTCATTTGTTACAAAATTTTTGGTTACAGTGGTACTCAAAGTTATTGGTCCACCTTTATTTTTAGTTTTTCTCTTCAACCATAATACCAAGAACAAATTTGAAAAAAGATTTAAACAGCGAAAAGAATTTCCAATCTAATGTAGTGCAAAATGACATGTCTTCAAACTCTTTTTCACATGTTTTACCGTTAATTTTGGTGGTAAGGAACCTTTCATAAATAGCATGCTGTTTCATGTCGTAGCGAGCTCGAATTAGACGTCTTATTCGGTTCAGAAATGTGTGCTCTATACGATTACGAGTTATTTGTAAAAAGTTTCTCAGTTAACTACGAAGACGTGTTGTTCTGAGATTTTGGTTTTCCACAGGTCCTGATTTCAGAAATTTTAATAGTACCTTTATCTGTACTACATCAGATTGGAAATTCTTTTCGAATTTGTTCTAGATATTATGGTTGAAGAGAAAAACTAAAAACAAAGGTGGACTAAAAATTTTGAGCGCCACTGTATACCTTGTACAACGTTGTTACATTTGTAGCAATAATTAAATAAATGTTTAATATTTTATATCATTGACTCGGAAGCTGATAAAATCTGAAACATACTAATAATCTTTACCACTTTATATTTTTATTAGTACCACACAGCCTGTACGCAAGGATCTAACAGATAAGTTTTGTCTCTATGCTACGGTAGAACCTCATGTGCTATACCAGCTATTCTTCGAGATTTGTGTACAATATTAGTTGCTTGCTCAAATGACTATATAGAAAATGATTTTATCTTTATTTCGCTCATCATACATTTTTCATCTATTTCGTGTTTAATCGTCGCTAGAATTTACCAACCTAATGTTAAGTATTATTAACAGTGTGTGAAGATGTGCTACAATAGAGAGATAAAATTTAGATAGACTATTGTTTTATTACCCGTTCAAGTATATTTACTCACTATAAACATCCTGCTGTGCATATTTATTTATTTAAACATTCACGCAGTATTGTTAGATATCATAAATTTTTTATCTAAAAAAGTTTCCTGTCATGTATTTAACGGTGTATCAAGTTTTACTAATCTACAGTAGAAAAAGAGTACCATTTGTTATATCGATTGTTATGTCGATTGTTATGCGATAGTGTTTATGTTCTAAACTTAGGTTACGATAAACTTGTTCACATTAATCAATTAGTGTTGCCAGACTTCGTAGATGTTCTTTCTTTTCATCGATATTAATAAATTTCTTGATGAAATCATATTCGAAAACACTCTAATATGACTATTGTACAGCACTGATTAGTATATATCTATAAATAGATTTTGCGACAAATGGACGAAAAAATCTTGTCAGAGCTAAATGATAAAATGTGGAACTCCTTCGAACTGTAGATTCGAAATTGATGTTGTTAATTCATGGGCAATTTTCTATGTTATAAATTAGGAATCGCTAACATAAAATATCTACACTGAAATTTCAATTAATTTTACAAAATATTTTTTTAACCTTTGTAACATTAAGATCATTCTCAGGGACCTCTAACATTGTTACCAGGAATTTGAAAAGCATTGTCAGAAAGGGGAGGCTTTAAGATCGAGGGAGAGAGGAAGGCTGGCCTCTCACTCCGCCTCGCCTCTTTTTTTCTATAAATCCTCTTTTTTCACAAACATAGTACCTATTGACGAACAAATTTGCTATTGTTGGTTCATCCAGTGGTTCATTTCATCACTTATTTTTACTCTTGACTTCTACTAGTCGTTGAGCTCGAGTTCTAAGGTCAAGTGAGACTAGAAACTCTCTCAGCAACCTAGAGTGCCAATCCAATCTATGTAGTATATTTAAAAATAATGGTAAAAATACATATGCAGGAATAACATGAAGTAAGGAGACCGAAATTTCTGTTGTTTTCATTTGTTTTCTCATTTTGCTTTGCGCATATTATGAAGGATGCAAAATATATGTGAACAACAATGTCGCAAATTGTTCTCATCAAAGGCGGTAATGAGTAGAATATTGTTTGCATGATCGGCCTCTGCTTGAGTTTTGAATCGAAGGTGTATTTGGCCTTGAAGTGGAAACGGGGTATGATAATAGTTGACATTGTAAGAATCTAAGACAGTTTTTATTAATGTCATTGACCAGTTGGGGCAAATTGCTCGAGATATTTGATGTTGCAATAAATGGTGATATTGTCTTTGATGTCGTGCTTGATTCCGTTTATTTTTGAATTCCTTGGAACGTAAACCACACTTTGATGATTTCTGATGGTCTTGCTGTTGGTCGTGAGGTTCAGCAATTACGAATTGTATTTCAGGTGGTGGTGGTCCTAATATGAAACGATTAAAATAATCAAAAATTCCAGCTTTAATTTTATCGTGAGCATCATGGTGTACGTGTATACGGTCATTGGCCAATTCATGTTGTCCAATTACGAATATCTCATATAGAAAATTTCATTGTCTGCGCTAATGAAATAAGTAAATTATTATACGATTCAATATTCTGCTCTAATGATGTAGTAGTGGGAAACTTTTGTGTAGTTTTTGCACAGGAGAAGGATGGTATGATGGCAATATTTTGTTCGTCTTCAAGTTGTTGATGATTGTTACGAATATGAGTTATGACTTGTTCAACTTGTTGGATAACATCTGTTGATTTGGTTAATCTTATTGAATTTGTACCGATCAATAAGATTAATGCTGCTGCTCTGGACAGGAAAGATAAAATGGTTGGCGTATGAATTAGGTGAGCAAGTGAAAGATGAGGCTCATAGATATCGATCCACTTTAATCCAGAAACGGCTGTAATGGTAACATGATGGTTCGTAGTCGTCATTTCAGTGGTCGTTTGTGATAGTAACTGTTTATTAAGACATTTGCCATGGCTGTCGGATAGAACGAAAAAGGTTGGCACTTGGTGTTGTGATGAATCATTGATAACGAGTGGTAATTCTTTGATAGTATTGTTGCCATTACCTATTGGTGATGACGAAGACGGTGATGGTAATGCTTGTGTTGTACCTAAGACAGATTGAACGGTTAGTATAGCTTCAGCTGACTTACACAAGATATAAAAGTAGAGCTTCCTTGCTGCCAGCACGTCATTAATGGCATACTTAATTATATTTTCTATAATAACTTGTTTTTCAGTTGTTAAATGATGATGTAAGGCTTTATTTAATCCATACGTCCACGCATTTTGTGTTAATTCTTTATCTAATGCACAATTGAAGGTGGATTTAAGCGCCTTCTGTAATGACCAATTGGAACTACTATTACTTTTAAATGGTCTGTATTCTTTTGGACATATCCATGATATATAGTCAGCATGTTTATCATCAACGTATTCATCTTCCAAATTCATTCCAGTAGCGTGACAAATCAATTCCAATGCGTCTCCATTAGAAGAAGCATTAATTTCTTGTTTTTGCTGACTGCACTGAGGAATATGTGGATGGCGTTTGTTCCCAAAGTTAGCGAAGGAAGTTTGTAAATTGATCGGATTAGTGACGTTTGATAGGTCAAACAATCGTGTTGATGTGAAAGCTGACAGTTCGTTCATGAGATTACCCCAAGTCATTATCGTACTATGCTTTGAAAAAATATGATCACATAGCTGATGAATAAGCTTAAATTCAGTTGTTGAGTAATGAGGTAGATGTTGTATTTCTATGATAAGGACTGTGTTATTCTTATTGGCTTTAGTTAAATTAGTAACGGGGTGTATTGGTGCAGCAACGGTAGCACAATGTGGTAGGAATTTACGATACCAACTTAGTGCTTCGATGAATTTATTTGATTGTACTAATGTGCGTGGCTCTTTGATTTCAAGAATTGTTTTGATTCTATCGTTAGTACAAGCAAATAAATTCAGGCATCCAAGAGAACAGGATGACGAATTATATGATATTGATTATGGCATTCCTAGTAAAGAGAATTTCTTGCAGCCAGAATTTCCGGCTGAAGGAGCATAAGTCTCTTTGCTACGTTTCAATAAACCACGATTAGTAGCTGCAATGACTTTAAGATCACGTAAGAATAAGAATCAAACAGTTAAAGTGTCAACAACCTCAGATAACGCAGAAGCATCATCCTCATGACAGACCAAGGTCCATTATGCAACATCATGCATAAAACTGTAAGAAATGTAAGAGTGGATAGAATTGCTACTTTAATACAAAAATATAATATTGATTACTGTTGCGTTCTCAGAAAACAATGCCCCTCAAAAGTGACTTACACTTTCTCCTGCCGATCGCGACGGTTTGCTGAAACTTAGTTTAACCTTGATTTTTTAGTTATTAATAAATTATGTCTAGTTATCCGCAGTATTCTGCTTCATCTCCACAACAAGAATAATCTTCTTTATCGTTGTCGTTTCCTCAGCCTATGACTTCTTATCCATTATTGTCAAGTTCACCATTCTTCAATTCGAATCAACGTTCGTCGTCCTCTCATCCCCTTAACGTCCATCATCAGCATTCTTCTTCATCAGATAGTCGTCAACAAGATTCACAACGCTCAGTTTTGTTGCCGTCGATCAGCTCGGCTGGCAGTAGCATAACTGGATGGCATGACAACAGTCATCAACATGAATTCCCTCATCGTCATCAATCATCTTCATCTGATCGTTACCGTTCACAACCCAAACTATGTCCACATCAACATCTTTTAGATCGAAAACCTGAGAATTGTCCTCCGCAACTCACCGATAAATAAAAGGAAACGTGGCTTAATGCAGGCCGGAAAGCTAATGCAAATCATGAATTACCTCCTAATACATCTCCGTGCATCTAAATGCAAATACATTTAGTGCATCTGACATAGATTATGGCAAACCAATTCATTTGCATCGCTATACATCTCCAGATATTCTTAAATCTTCAATTACTGCAATATCTGATATTCATTTGTTTATGATTGACACAGAATCTGAATCAGTATATCGTTAACCGTCAATACCAGCCCTTATTCAGATACAATGTATTGAAAATGAACCTTATCATAGAAAGAGCGAAATACAGTTTTACATGAGAAGACTGTTTCTCCATTAGTGTAGTTCTTGGGAGGAAACACCGACTTTTCCAGAAGAAAAGCAGGTTTCTCCACGCGACCTTGATGTTTTTTCCTGAAGAAAGCAATTTTTGTCTACAACAATGTGATATATTTTCCTGAACAAACTGCTGTTGCGCAACGAGAAATTGGTGTTTCTTCGTGAATACCCCGTGATTCTCCAAAAGAACCTGGTGTTCTTTACTGATGTTTACACGATGTTTCTCCATTAGAACTTGATGTTTATCCCTTAAGAAAATAACGTTTCACGATGAAAACTCGATGTTATTTCCTGAAGAAAAGGATAAAAGGAGTTGTCTTGGAGAAACATCGGTTTCTTCACTTAAAAACATCAGGTATTCGTGGGGAAACATCGATTTCTGCAGGAAAAAGCATCAAGTTCTCGTAGAGAGAGATACAGTTTACATGAGAAGGTGTAGTTCTTGTGAGGAAATAGTGACTTTTCCAGAATAAAAGGATGTTTCTCCACGAGACCTTGATGTTTTTTTCCTGAAGAAAGCAATTTTTGTCTACAAAAATGTGATATATTTTCCTGAGCAACCTACTGTTGCTCCACGAGAAATTGGTGTTTCTTCGTGAATGCCCCGTAATTCGCCGAAAGAATTTGATGTTCTTTGCTGACGACACCAATGTTTCGCCAGGAAATCGTGATGTTGCTTTTCCACGATAACTTCATGTTTATCCCTTAAGAAAGCAATGTTTCGCCACTAGGTCGTGATGATTTTTCCTGAAGAAAACGATAAAAGGAAAAATTAGTGTTCTATTGGAGAAACATGTCTCCACGAGAACTTAATGCTTTTTCCTGCAGAAATCGATGTTTCCTCACGAATACCTGATGTTTTTAAGTGAAGAAACCGATGTTTCTCCAAGACAACTCCTTTTATCCTTTTCTTCACGAAATAACGTCGAGTTTTCATGTTGAAACGTTATTTTCTTAAGGGATAAACATCAAGTTCTAATGGAGAAACATCCTTTTCTTCAGGAAAAAACATCACGATCTCGTGGCGAAATGTTGGTCTCTGCAGGAAAGAACACCAAGTTCTTTTGGAGAATCGCCTGGTATTCACGAAGAAACACCAATTTCTGGTGGCAGTTTCTTCAGGAAAATATATCACATTCTTGTAGACAAAAATTGCTTCAGGTAAAAACATCATGGTTTCGTGGGAAAACGTTGGTGTGTTCAGTAAAGAACACCAAGTTCTTTTGGAGAATCTCGGAGCATTCACGAAGAAACACCAATTTTCCGCGGAGCAACTGCAGGTTTCTTCAGGACAAAAGGTCCTGGTGTCTTCAGGAAAGAACACCAAGTTCTTTCGGCGAATTACGGGATATTCACGAAGAAACAGCAAGTTTCTTCAGGACAAAATATCAAGAACAAACATCAAGTTCTCGTGGAGAAACATGCTTTTCTTCTGGAAAGGTCGCTGTTTCCTCACAAGAACTACACCTTCTCATGTAAAACTGTAGTTCTCTCCACGAGAAGTTGTTGCTTTTTCCTGCAGAAACCCATGTTTCCCCACGAATACCTGATGTTTTTTGCTGAAGAGAACGATCTTTCTCCAAGAGAAATTGATGTGTTTTCCTCAGGAAACCGATGTTTCTCCAACAGAACTCTATTTTTTTCCTTTTATTCTTTTCTTCTTGGAAAAACATCACGATCTCGTGGCGAAACGTTGGTGTTTTCAGTAGAGAACACCAAGGTCTTTTGGAGAATCTCGGGGCATTCACGAAGAAACAGCAGTTTCTCGTGTAGCAACAGTAGTTTCTTCAGGACAAAATATCAAGTTCTAATGAGGAAACACCCTTTTCTTCAGGAAAAAACATCACGATCTCGTGTTGGTGTGTTCAGTAAAGAACACCAAGTTCTTTTGGAGAATCACGGGGTATTCACGAAGAAACACCAATTTCTCGATGAGCAACAGCAGTTTGCTCAGGAAAGAATATCACATTGATGTAGACAAAAATTGGCTTCTTCAGGAAAAAACATTAAGGTCGCGTGGAGAAACTTGCTTTTCTTCTGGAAAAGTCGGTGTTTCCGCACAAGAACTACACTAATGGAGAAACAGCCTTCTTATGTAAAACTGTATTTCGCTCCACTAGAACTTGATGCTTTTTCCTGCAAAAACCGATGTTTCCCCACGAATACTTGATGGTTTTTCCTTAGGAAACCGATGTTTCTCCAACAAAACTCTATATTTTTTCTTTTATCCTTTGCTTTATGGAAAAACATCACGATGTCGGGGCATTCACGAAGAAAGATCAGTTTCTCGCGGAGCAACAGCAGTTTCTTCAAGAAAAAATATCAAGTTCTCGTGAGGAAACATCCTTTTCTTCAAGGAAAAACATCGTGATCTCGTGGCGAAGCACAGGTGTCTTCAGGAAAGAGCACCAGTAGTTACGCGATAAAAAATATTTGTGTTATTACATTATCGCAAAGAAGAAAGTACAACTGATTAATATCAATGAATTTTAGAAAAGCGTTTACATCGTTAGATGGCTAAGGGTCAGTTTTTCACTAGAACCTTCCGGTTTTCGAGTAAAGTAAAAGAAATAGATCGCGTACTTATAAGTGTTCTAGCCGTACCCGACCCGTACCCAACCTTCGGGTCGGGTACAGGTCAGGGTCGGGTTGGGTTGCACATCTCTATACTGCATCAATAACGGGTTCTTTTAAACTATGAAAAGAACATTTGACCGTAGTTACATGTGAAAGTAAGATACAAACAGTGGTTCGATTTTTCTGTACAGATATTTTGTGAACTGTTTATCAGATAACCAATTGCATGATTGTTAATGTTTTATAGACCTATGTAAAAAGTTTTCGTTATTTTATTAAGAAAAACTTGATGTAGCTATTTCTCTGCCTGTTTATGGTTCACAATGATCAAATCCCCAATATCGTCGTTTTCACAGTCCTTTAACTGGTATATATAGGTTACTCGTTGTTAACATACGTCATAGATTTTTAAAAAGATATGTGTATTTAAAAACCAGCAAACTCTATTATCAACTGAAGTCTTTTTTGATGAGTGACATGATTTATACTTGTCCTTGAATATCTCCTCTACAACAATTGAACCAATTTTGTCGTATTGAATAACATAATAATTCTTGTTCTATGTTTCAAAGTGCAATTTCCTATAATTATGTCCTTTTGAGGTAATCGCATATTCATTATTTTAAAAAAAAGTAAAATTGAAAAGGAGGAGTTCTCTTTAAGTACATCCACTTAAGTAGTATACTTGTCATCGTGCAATATCTACTTCAAGGACACCAATCTGATGCAGCAAATGTTCGAACACATCTAACTGAAAAAAAAGAAATAAGCAACAGCAGTAGGTAAAAATATGTGCACATTATGTGTTGAATGTATTGTTCTATTGAATATATGAACCGTTAATAGCTAAACTAACATAAATCTGCAAATATGCACAAGAACAGGTTACATCGTGTACATATCGAGCATTCTTCAAACCCAAATCTGCTATGGTTTGAATAGTAGCCCTATATTGAAGATGAGCAGAAGTGTAACAAACATTTCATGTTCACATAGGCAATTTTTGATTGAAGTATAACATTGATTAATCGAATATTTTAAACGCACATTGATGACACATGAAGAGAGAGAATCGAATTAAATAGTTTTGTGTGTTTTCATCTCGTCAAATGACAAGTATAATTTAGAAATCGAATAGAATTAATTGAGCGAGAAAAAAAACTCGTTTATATCAAAATTGTTGAATGATCAAACTGAAAAGAAGAGAAAAAATTATGGTGCAATGAGCAAGTGTCTTTAATCATTAGAAAAATGTTTGTTCTTTTGTTTCAATGAAATATCTATGGATATGAGATATTACACGTTTTTTCATTCATTAAAAATCCAAATGAACAACGAAAAAGTCTGTTGAACATCAAAGTAGTTGAACAAGAACTAAAAAAGAAAATTTATTTCTCATTCATTACTAGATTATTGTAACAGGCATAGATTGATAACAGTAGAAAGCTAAGAAATACCAGCTGTAATCTTTAGCTGTAACATGCAATATTGTTCCCAACTGTAAACCAATATTGCTTGACGAAATGATCATGCTCTATTGGAATGACTAGTAAAAAAGAGATACATGTATGATTGACAAGCGAATATGTATGTGTGTATGATGATCTGACGCACATTTTCATATTTTTTCGATAGATATTATGCCTGTGTTTGACTCATCATTATTCTCTACAACAGTAATAATAACAACAACATGTAGATGTATATGTGTGTTATCAATAAATTATACTCTCGCACATACAAAACGGTATCACATCGTGATCACAGACGTCTAATTTACAGCAATAACAAATAGCTTTTGTACTAAGATCATTTTTCATATAAACGGAGATCAATGAACGTGGTGAGAATAAAGACATTTGTTCAAGATTGACATAGAAAACTCAATCTGAGATCCAAACTCTTAAATCTTAATGACTTAAACAAAACAAAATCATATTTACATTTTAAAATGTAACCTGCTCGAAGCTACATTTCATAATGTAAATATATTGTGCCACTATGTCATTGAAATTAAAAAAATTCTTCTCGTTAATAACATATACACACACACAATTGAACATTTCCTCCATTACAAGTCAAGAACATAAAATATATTATGAAAGAAAGCATTTTGTGTTTATTTAACAGATGTATCTACCTCTATATTTTACATAAACATTGCTAGACTGAATCGAAAAAGGAAATGTACGATCCATTACTCGTTGTAGTGGACACACACGAAATAAGGAAATCATTAATACACGTGTTCTAAGTCATACTGTGATATGGTTGATATCATAAAAATTTCGTTTTAGTGTACAACAGCCTTAGGCGCAATTAACCTATAATAGTATGTGGATATTTAACTCCTCCTTCAAGCAAGCATTCACATCGATTTAAAGGTTAAAAGTGGTATGGAAAAATGTTGATTTGACTATTTTCCAATATACGTAATCGTAAGATATCTATCTATGTTAACAAGATCTGACATAATAATAATGTAGCATGAAAAAGAGAGAATTCATTTTACGGAAAGAAAGAAATGCGTATAAAGTTAACAGGTTTGTTTCAAAAAAATGCCGACAGCAATTCTCTTCTCGTTTATTCATACCGTGAAATTAATAATAGAATAACGATGCCCGGTCGTTATCTTCACCAGACATTCCTAAACTTTTAACGTACATATCAGTTCATATTTCTATCAATAACTTGTCAAAAACTTTCAATCTAATCTTTTTCTGATAATATTACACCATATTTGAAACTTCCTATCTACATAACCAGCAGTATGTCTCTCTCACTCTCTCTACGCATAGACAAGTAACTAAAATCAATACTATGTTTCGCCTTGACCTTCTATGTTGATAGACAACGTACGAAAAACTTTAAGATAAGCCATGTACAGAACAAGTAGTTGTTAATATTAACATGCGATTGAAACAGATGTTTTAATATGTTCTAATAAGAGAAGAGATTTGTTTATTAGCGCGTTTGACAAGTAGCCAAGAGGCAAGAACACGAAATGACACACACTAATGATAATATTTTAGAGATTAGTCAATCAAATTTATAAGTTTATGTCACTCGATAACATGCGATGTCCTTGCCCTCCGATCATAGAACTAAAAACGAAGATGCGCACATTGTTTAATGATGATCTCATCTCATATTTTGAAGGTGAATAAAAAAAATGAAAAGAAGATAAGCTCTAGGTAGTATGACATGAACGTGACAAAGAAGAAAAAGAATATCTGAACTCTCATTTAGTCTATTATATATAAAATGTATAAGATGACACGTTTGAGGATTACTTGCGAATAACAGTCGTATCCTGTTCGTATATAAAAGAAAATTAGCTAGTTTCCGGAGAGAAAGAGATTGTTTGACAACGAACTCATTTTATCTCTTCAAATAGCATAGTAAAAAGAAATATCTCAATAGTTTTATATTACGTAAAATCTCATTCATACAAAGTTTTTATTAACTTAGTTTGACTCAGTATCAGCGAGTGAACTTCTAGTAAAAGAATTTCGATGATCAAATACATATGAAATTTTATTTTCAATCTGAAATTAATTGAAAATAATTAAATATCTTTGATAACTATACTAATGTAGATCTAACAATTCAGATATAGAAATTTATTTTTTGCAAAATGCAAAAAAAGATAAAAATTAGCTTAACAAAAACAAAAATAACAATTAATATTAGTAACTGCTTAAATTAAATAAGAACATTTGAAGGATGAGGATAAAATGTGGGTGTCGGTGTTAAAGTTCTATGTAAATGACATGATGATGAATTAATAAATCCATTTAAATTATGTACAGAAGGAATTTGTTGATAAACATGATAAGTTGATGATGAAGATAGTGTAGAAGCACCGGCACTATTTAAATGACTTGTATCGGTTAAATGTAATGAACATTCACTTGTATCTGAACTATTATTTGTATTTTGATGATGAACACAGCCACAATGTATTGCACAATGATGATGAAGTTTTTGTTGTTGTGGATGTAATGGACGGTAAAATATGGGTGGACGATATTCATCATACATAGTAATTAAACTTTTTTCAGGTAAAGAATTTTGCTGTTCAACACCATTACTTGTACTACTACAACTACCAGTTGATGTATCATGATAGAAACATGTTTGTTTAATTGTTTTTGATTGTTTACGACGAATACGTATAAAACAAATAATAAATACAAATAAACAAACTAAAATGGCTCCTAATATACCACCAGAAAATAAAAATATAATTTGAATAGAATTTGATTGTGGTTGTTGAGAAGATTTAATTAAATATAAATTTTCTTCATGAGATATTTTTGTTGTAAAATTATTTAAAACAAAATTACGACAATGTTTATCTTGTCTATGTCTATAAATAATATTAATACAAATTGTATAATGTGATGTTAATAAAGATGTAATATCAAATTTATATTGATTATTATCCAATGTTTTTTGTCTAATTAAATTTCCATTTTCATCATAAATTTGTAAATGATAATATTTTATTAATTCATCTGTTATTGTTATTAAATCCCATGTGACAATTATATTGTTACTATTATCATATTCAATATTTATTATTAATTGATCTGATTTTATCAAACTGACATTTTGTTTATTTAATAGTGTTGTCGTCATCGTTGTCGTTGTCATCGTCGTAGTAATAGGAAAAATGTCTACTGTTGTAGGAATAATTGTTGATGAAGATGTTATTGTTGTTGAAATAAGAACATCTTTATTTTCACATATACTTTGTTCATCATGATTACAAATTAAATCATCCATTGTTAATGATGTTAATTGTCTACCATTAAATTTTATTGGTGTTGAACATGTCCATTGTAAAAAACGTATTAATTCATGATCATAATTTTTATCTAACCATATTTTTAACCATTTTAATTTACAATCACAATGTAATGGATTTCCTGTTAAACCAATAATTTTTAATTGTGGATAAATATTAATAATATCTTGTTCATTTATTGTACATAAACGATTTGTACTTAAATCTAAATCATGTAATTGTGTTAAATGTGTTAATCGTGGTATTAATTGAAATTGATTACGTTGTAAATCGAGTGATGTTAAATTTTTAGATAATTTTAAAAATTTTATAGGTATCTGTTTTAAATTATTTGATGCTAATTTAAGACGTTCTAATTTTTTTAAAGAATTAAATGCATAATGAGGTAATACGGTTAAATTACAATTTTGTAAACTTAATTCAATAAGAGATTGTCCAAGACCATAAAATGTTGTATTAAAAAATTTTAATTGAACATTACGATCTAAATTTAATATTTGTAATTTTTCTAAATGTTGAAATGGACGATCATCATTATTTAATTGAATACGATTTCGTGCAAGATTTAAATGTTTTAATTTTGATAATCCTATAAAAAAAACAAAAACAAAATATACAAAATAAAATTAGAAAATAAAATTTATTTTAACATACCTAAAAATGATTGATTCGATAATTTTGTTAAATCATTTCCTTGTAATGATAAATAGAGTAATTGTTTATTATATCGAAATAATTTTTCAGGTAAAAATGTAATACGATTAAAATCAAGATTTATATCCGTTAATTTAAATATATTAAATAAAAATGTTAATTGTAAAGAATTTAATTCATTATTTTGTAAATATAATTTTTCTAATGTTAAATTTTGTTTTATAAATATATTTGTATCTATTGTTTGTAAACCATTATAAGATAAATCAAATAATTTTAATTGAGTTAAATTTGTTAATAAATTATTTGTTAATGTTTGAAAATGATTTTGACTTAATGTTAATATTTCTAAATTTTTTAAATTTTTACAAATTTTTGGCCAATTTGAATCTGTTAATTGATTATTATCTAAATGAAGTGCTTTTAATGTTGTTGATATTGATTTATTTAATTCAAATGTTAAATCATCAATTTTGACTAAATTACATTTTAGACATGAAAATTTTTCTAATTTTTTAAAATGTAGAAATGTATCACTTGATAATGTATGAATATTAAGTTCACTGAAATATTAAAAAAAAAAAAAAAAACGATTATTAAAACATTTATTTTTGTAAATTATCTAAGAAATTCAACAAAAAAATACTTACCTTAATTTTAATGAACGAATATTATACAAATTTTTTAGTATTGCATCTGGTATTTTATCCATAGTTATATATTGTTGATCAAATTCAATAACTAATTCTTCAAGATAATTTGCTAATTCAATAAATGCCTGTGGTGCTATTGATCGAAGTTTATTTCCTTGTAAATAAAGACGTTTAACACGTAATCCTAAAAATGCATTTGTAGGGATATGTTGAATTAAATTATCATTTAAAACAAGTTCATCATAAAATGTATTTGTACGTGAAAAATCGGGTATTGTTTGTAATTGTTTTCTTGCACAATGTATATAATTACTATTATCTTCTCTAATACCAGACTGACAAATTGATTGAAAATGAGGAGAATTCATAGTAGTTGAAACATATGTTATATGAATAATTAAAAAAAAATATGACAAAATAACAAACGATGATTGTTCAATCATAATTGATGTTGAGAGTAAAATAAAAAAAATAAAAAAAATTCCAAAACAATAGACTAAATCTAGAAAAGAAATCCGAGTATAGAAATGATGAGTAAGAAAATGAACGTTCAACAGCTGGTTAGAGTGAACAGATGAATATCTATCATTATTTCTATTCAAATGAGACAAAGGATAGGATTATCATTACTTGAATAGAGAATTGAAAAACACAGTATGAATCTTGTGTAGACACAGTAGGAATCATTCTATTTGTCACTGTTCAAAACCATAAACAATTTTGGAATAAATCTTCATCATTCTACCCAACCATATCTCTCTTTTAACTGTTATCCTCTTGGTATGCAATATACTTTAGAAGAAGAAAAAAAAATATCAATAGAAAACTACAAATCATAAGAGTTTTTAATCAGTTAAAGAATAAAAATAAAACAAAAAACTATTCATTTCCATTTAGAAGAAATTATCTCATATGCACTTTATAAACTGAAAAAAAACAATTCATATCTAAATCTCTTTCATCTACCAACAAGATCGAGAAAGAAAATAATAATAGTAACAACAGGTAATCTCAATCTGACAGTGTGTCAATGAAAATAAAAAAAAGAAAAGAAATGAATTTGTCAGCATTCTTAATCAATGCTTAGCAGTTCATAAGAACTGTTGCTTTTGATCTTGTGATTGGTTTCACAGATTATTTAATATAGAGTGTTAATGAAAGTATTGATGTATCAAAGTGTTAAAACGAGAGTATATTGAGATTTTTACAACAGATTATCTCACCTTCACATGGCATGTATGCTATTTTAGTTATGAGAACATTGACAAACGAAGAAATAATAAATTTCTTTTTCTTTTTTTTTTTAAAAAAGAGAGATATATAGATAGATATCGAAAAAGATTTTTTAATATTTTTTTTGCAATTTTTTTTCTTTCTTCTTTTGAGTATGTATGTTCAAATCAATTGTGAGATGACGAGACGAAGAAGAAGAACGAGAAAAAGAAGAGAAAAAAAAAATCAAGAAAAACTTGAACAAATCGCTTCCTCATCGAGTGCGTGTGTATGTGTGTTTACTTGAACAGTGTATAATTGGCTTCTATATGTACAATTGATTATACTGACATGGAGAGAATGAAAATAGCTGAAAATGTCAATAACAGGAAAAGTGAAGATGATTCTCTCTCTCTCTCTCTCTCTCCCAGTATGCGGACAAGCATCTCTCGGATATCTGATGTTCTATTTTGATTTCGTAACTATGATCGCACTTTGACGGCTTTGTATAGTGAAAATGTGGTAGAATATGCATGTAGACAATCTAAATCTATCAAAAAATTCTTTTCCGAACAGTAGGATGTCAATGTTCATCAAAAGGCCGCCTTTACATCATCGTCATTACAGTGTCCTTTTCGAAAAATATGTGTACAAACAAAAAAATCTCAACAATTGAGATGAGACATCTTATTCACATTCACGGATTTTTATTTCTTGTAACTATATAAAAAACGTTTGTTGATTGTCAACATCTTCTCTCTCAACACTCAGTAAAAAATAACATTTTAAAGTTTGGAGTTTTTATTAAACGACTAGTAACCTTTTACAAAGATCTAGATTATCTTAATAGATCAATACTTCTTCATACCGATTGATCTATATTTCTCATCTCCATAGATTCTACAGATTTGCTACTTCTTTGTTTAGAGAAAGATTGTAGACTTTCGTAACATACAGAATCGATGTTATCTATAATCTATGAAACGGTATTCTTAAATAGGAAACTCTTTGGTGATGCAATGTAAAAGATTTTACCTCCATTTTAACTGCATAGTGATGTATTCATGGTAAATAAATAAAGCCATGATGATGTCTTATGTCAAATGATGTCAATACAAACTATGATATCCTTGTATTGTGTTACAGTTTGGGACCGTTTATCTGCTAATTAGAGTCATAACATATGAAGGAAGTATTTCAAACAAAATCAAACTCAAAAAGAGTATAACATACTCAAAAGCTGTAGTCATCATAATAAAAATAAAATAGTAACATACATTCTGTTACGAAAGTACTTTTACACTTTTTGCTCTATATTTGGTGATCTTTATAAGTGTCAACGTTGAACTATACATACACATCTTCATCTAACATGTATTTGATTATACAACGTTTCTCAATAGTTTGGATTTATACCTACATACTTTGTGGCAATTTGTATTGAAATTTCTCTTGTCGGTCTTTTTTTTATATACTGTATATTGTACTCGTCGTCGTTCATTTCTTTTTTAGCAGATGTTAGATTTCTAATGTTAAAGACAAATTGATTTTTGATGGCAATTTAGACTAAATCGGCATTGAACAAAGACATGATGATGCTGTACTATAAAACATCGTCTTATTGTAGGATTAAAATGTACAGGTAAAGAGAGAAATAAAAACGGTTAAAATTCATGTGGTCATTCAACTATAGAGAATTATTAACAACGAAATATAGTTTCTTTTACATATTAATTTTATATTCTATAGAATAGAATAGCATTACAGACTTTTGGTGATGGTGGTGGATGACATTCCATATCATTAACTTTTGTTTCATGGTGAGAACAAAATGGAAAATGAAAGATGTTAGAATAAGAGAGAACAACTATATATAATTTTATGTTGTAATGTTACATGTTAGGAATAAATGAACAGTAACAGAATTCATTAAATTATAATTCCCGATTCTAGAGATTACATAAACGTTGATGCGACACATACATTAGAGACTAAAAATGTCATTTCTCAATTATTCATTTCGACAAAGTAATGATAAAACGTGGAAATCGTCAATTTTAGTGAGAAAAGAGCATATAACGAAAAAATAATTATTATCCAGGTGTTTAATAAACAGATTAGGTTAAACTTTTTTAAATGCAGCTACACATATATGCATAGTGAGTGAAACGAAAAGACAACAGAATCTAATGCTCATAGTAATAGGTTGAGTGCCTCTGTTTCTATTTTAAGTGAAATTTGTCATTAGTCGAACAAGTTATCTCTTAACGAACTACGATACCGAGCGTCAACTTGTATAATCTAAAAAGTTAACCGAGATAACCGCTCAAGTTTCCTACTCTATCTCGTCGTTATCAATAACTATTTTTCAGTTAATAGAATCTCTAAAAATATTCTAGTGATTGAAAATAATTAAAATAATGTATCAAGAGACCACGTACGTCACAGTACTCGATGATTTATCACTACTGTATTTGATGATTCAAAGAAAATTTCAATCATTGACCATTCAAACAAATTCTCTTTTTTTAAATTACCCTTGGACTTAACAGACCATTGAAGAAAAATGACTAATGTTGCCAAAACAATAGAATAGTTCTGTATATCGAGCAATTTACACTTGACATATGAGAGAGAACATATAGATGAACATCAATGATAGTGTGTTATTGTCGAAGATTGAGTTGTCTAGTTAACGATTTTCTCGGGAGATTAACGTACGTATGCGGTTTTGACACTTACCATTATGTGTAAATTAGTCATCACAAAAAAAAGAAAGTAAAATCCAATGAATTTTAGAAGGAAACAAGATAACAACAATAGATTTAGATAAAATTCCGATACAGAAACTTCCTGTGACATTTTTTTTCTTCTTCTTATTCTACGTATACGATGGGAGAGAAACGATAATAGTACTAATGATACAAACTATTTGTGACATGGGTTTCTGCCTTAAAGCCATAAAACAACTAATTACATGAACAATAAAAGAGAAGAACATTTTTTCTTTTTTTTTTGTCATCATTCACAGCTTGAAGCAACGTCTAGCAAATATATCTTCAATGATTCACTGGCATGCGAACAAACAAATAGAAAACCTCCTTAGAGGTAAAACATGTTCATTATATTGTTTACAAACACTTTTTCTCTTACTATTCCAATATGCATAAATAGACATAACAAAAAAAAAAAAATTAATTGTGATAGATCTAATGTTGATAGTATGCACGTGAAAACACGTGGTGCTATACTTCATCACATGAGATAATGTAATTATTGATTATATTTTAACACCTATTCTAGTTATATAATAGACGAGGTGACAAAATAGCTAGTGATTGTTGAACTTTTGCTATAAAAGGGTGTCAAAGGTGATCTCAAGAAATTTGTATTTTTTCTTCTTCTCGTAATTGGAAATTTAAATACATTGTATACGTACAAAATAGAAATATTACATATTCTGATATATGTATGTTTATATCTCATTTTTTCAAGTATTATTACTCAACTCTGTTATAGAAGAAATCTCGTTGAGAACTAGAGTCCTAAGATTCACCGTAGATTCTGAAGGCAGTAGAATCGAATAAGATTTTGAGCTGATCATTAAGCAGCAGGATAGTGTTTATTTTAGCCTAATATCTACTATTTCTTTTATATCATTTAACTATACATAAACAGGCGAAGAATTAAATGAAACACATATCTATTGTATGTTCTGTTCTATTGTATTCTGTAGATCGGATGTTCTTAAATACACCACATCACAACATCGCAGCTGTATACATACATATATAGAGAAAGAAAGATGTCGAACACAACAAACCTATTGTTCATTCGTGCAATTAATTGCAAACCAATGTCAAAATTTTTCATTATATTCTACTATGTATAGTAAAGACATTTGGATATATTTAATGACATAGTATATATCCGTACGTTTAATATACATAAAAATTCCATTATCGTGATAGTTTAATACCCAAAACAGATTTACACTATTTAGAGACACAAGATAAAGAGACTAATTTTCACAGTCAAAGAAATGACAACAATTAGAAATAAATGAGAATACAATGTCACAAGACACATTTGAAATGACAAGTCGATTTTTAATTACATACAAAGTCATTTTATAGTAATATAAGTGAGAAATACCTATGACTCTACTTTTCGTATCAACAATGCGAAATGGTTTACTAAGAGTTTAGGGCTTGAAAAAGGAATTCCTTGA